TCGGGCCATATGTCTTGAAAGGGTCGGCTACTGCTTCTTCCACTTCCTTTATCATTCAGTCTTGCTTTTTTATTTTTTTTGAATCTCCATCACAAGGCTGCAAAAATAAATATAAATCATGGTGTTTTTTTTATAAAAGGTTGATAGGTTTCTTACCTATTAACTTTTTGCAGTGTTGTTGCACTGACTCCTGGTGCAAAACAATTCAAAGATAGTATGTATAATCAACAAATATATGGTGCTGTAATCAATTACCTGACACGCAGAATGTCTCATTGAGCACTGTTGCACTGTATATCTTTTTCTTCTAACCCCCCCCCACTCCTGTCTCCTAAGGAACATGGCGAATGCATCCGAACGCCTGGGAAGCTTACCCGAGGCACGTGTTGACAATAACGAGGCCGTTTCCAGAATTGGACATTTTGTCACTCGAGTAAAAATAAAATGTCATGAGTAAAGATTAATCTCTTTATAGTGCAATTCTTAACCTTTTTATATTAATGTCAATATTGGAACAATGTGTCTTGGATGTTTTCACTGTGTATCTTTGCTATGAACACCAATGTACATGTTTACATCTGGTTTTAGAATTGCATTATTGATCATGAGTAACGTGAGTAGTAATATTACTCGAGTGATTCCCAACTCTGGCCGTTGCGAGAGACAAATATTTGAATTATGCAATTTTTGTCTCTGTCGATGCATGTCACCCAAGATGAGTTCGCGTGTCACCTCTGATAACCGTGTCATAGGTTCGCCATCAGTGGTATAGTCAGTATAATGTATTCAAGAGTTACTTGCATTAGTGTTTTCGTTCTTGTTGTTTTCTTCTTTTGGTATGTCTATATTATTCATTTGAAGTGTATTTGGTTTCATTTGGTTTTGTTTATATTTAGTTTAGTTTTTCCCTCCAGCCTTATTGATTTAATTTTTAATTTTTAATGTACAGAATTTTATTTAACACTAGAGGCCCGGTGCACAAAAATTTGTGCACTTGCGGGGGAGGGGGGTCCCTCAGCCCGGCCTGTGCCCTCTCGCAATCTGGGACCCCTCGGGAGACAACGACCTTCTGGCTTAGCCCTGCTCCCGGGTGGCAGAGGGCAGGCCCAATCCCTAGGTGCAGCCCCTGGTTCGGGCTCAGGCAGGGCCAATTGGGGGGTTGGGGCACTGCCCCCTGTCACACTCAAGGCAGGGTCAA